AACAAGTAAGGAAATAAATACAATGAAATTGAAAAATATCAGTATAATTTTAAACTCTTAATTTACATGTAATTACTTGTCAATGTTCATGTAATGGAAGGTTAAGGAACTTCTTATAGAGCCAGTCATTTTGATATATGTGGAACTGTCAATAATTCATTAAATAAAAACCACCAGTCAATATACAACGTAAATTTAGAATTGCTTGACAAAATTTAATGTCATTAATAATCATTAATATTATTATTATTATATTTATTATTTTCAGAGGATACCTTATTCTACAGCTGGTTTCTACACTGGAAAGAAGCCACAGAAGGTAAGACTATACAAGAAATAATTATTGACAATTCTTCTGATCTACTTGTCACTCAAATACTTACACATGTACATGTACAATGTAGCTTAAAATGTGATTCTAAAACATTTTATTTTACATTTTTTTTGAGTTGTGACCATTTTTTAAAAGTAGCAGGTTTTGGTAAAAAGCAAAGACTATATATAGTCCTTGGTTTTTTTTTCTGAAAATGGCTCCAAAATCACCCCCAGATTGTTGTTGTTTATTTATTTATTTTAATTATTTATTTTATTAATTTATTTTATTAATTTTATTTTTTTTTATTAATTTTATTTATTAATTAATTAATTTATTTTATTTATTATTGTAGAATGAAGCAACATTGAGTGACTCCCTCAATGATATTGATATTAATAAAGAATGTGATGATACATCAACTGAACAAAGCATTAGCAGTAAAGAAGACAGAGAGAAAGAAAGAGAACAAGGTAAAGACTGTACTACATCTATTCCCATTGACTAATAGTATTTTCATATTATGCTCTGTTGAAAGTTTGAGTTGATTCAGACCTCAATTTTAAAAGTTACAGCCATTTTAAGAAAATGCCAAAATTCAGAAAATTACCAAGACATTAGCCCATGTTTTTTTTGGAAAAATGGCTCTGAAATCACCCCAAATTTTTATTACATTTTCTGATACATATTGATGTCCTTATGCTGTATAGAAAGTTTGAGCTGATTCCGACTTCAATTTTTCAAGTTACAGCCATTTTAAGAAATTTCCAAAATTCTGAAAGATACCCAAGGCTATAGCCCACGGTTTTTTCCAAAAAATGGCCCCGAAATCACCCCAAATGATGCTTAAAATAAATTGCCTTTTTCCTATTCTAAACCACACACACACACTCATAATGATGCACATGTACATATTTATAGATGGTGATAAAGATACAGCACTAACTAATGACAGTCTTGAGGAACAAATAGAAGAAGAGGAGGAGGAGGAGGAAAGAGGAGAGGAAGATGGGGAGGGAGATGATGATGATGATAGTTGGATTACTCCTGATAATTATCAGTCAGTTTGTGATGGTACCTACGCTCAACAATGCAAGGCCTGCTTCAAGTAAGCCAAGAAAAGATACACAACACATACAAGTATGTATTTATTCCATACCTAGTGTATGTACATGTACTTATGAGACTGTATTTTGTGGTTCAATGTTTTCCTATTATTCAACTGTACATATATTCAATCCTTTATGTAGTTAATGGGAAAATCTCCACTTTATAATGAAGCGTGTAATGGTATAATTAGTATTTTTGTTAAGAAACAAGTACTAGCTGATGTTGGTAAAG